CCTTTACCAGCTCTTACAACTTAAGCATCCAATAACGGAACAAAGGGCTCCAATCTACTCCCAAATCTTCCCGAAATTAAGCCAACCATCCCCGCAAGTCATGAAATAAACAATCATACGAAAAACATCAAATAGGGAAACGAGACTCAATACACAAAATGATCGACCGGATCGTTACATTAATCCCTCTCACAGTCGATTGATATCCGACCAATCCAACCTCCCATCTTTCCTTCATCTCCTTTGCTTTCCCCAAAGCAGCAAGATACTATTTCAAACACATATCTACTGCCATGCAAAAAAAAATGGACAACTACAAGCCAACTAACGATGGTGAATCATCGAAAAACTATGGTAACGACCTCCTTCTCTACTTTTCCTTCTCTAGGAAATCAAGCAAGACCACCTCAGATCTTAAGAGTTATGCAAGCTGAGTTTTGATGCGCGATTTATGATTGTGGATGTTATTATAATGCTTTGATTCTTAGAATAAGTTCATATTAGGTATTCCGACTTGTTGGAATGATTGGACGGGGTCCCAGGATGCTTGGGTATGTTTCAGATGGGTTCCAGATAATTTTGGAGTTGAGTGAAAGTTTTGGTGCTGGTGTGCCGCACCTGCGAGGTTTGGTGTGCAGGTGCGACGTTGCACCTGCGGATGGAGCTTTTTGGGAAGATTTTTATTACCATGTTAAGGTTAAGTATTTTCTACTTTAATTTGATTATATGTCTCAATTACCCATAGATTCGTTCACTTACAACATGAATTTGAAAGAGGAAAATTGGGTTGTGTGTTAGATTTTAGAAAGTGAATAATTGAGATTTGAACTACGATTTGGAGTCGGATTTGGATGAAACTTGTATATTTGAACTCATATTTGAATGGGTAGTCGAGGTTTTTTAGTTTTGTTGGGTTCCAAAAAGTGGACCGGGGTTAACTTTGTATAATTGATTAAAGATCGAGCCTTTATGCTCCGTAATTATTCTCTTTAGCATTATTTTGATACTGTGGTGTGTTGTTTGACTAGATTTGAGTCAGTCGGAGATCGATTCACGAGGGAAGACATTCTTGGAGTATTGACTTTGCTCGTTTGAGATAAGTATCTTGCCTAACCTTGGTTTGAGGAACTAGTTGCTTGAATTGTTGATGATTTCTATGTGCTGAGGGTTACGTACATGCGGTGGATGAGAATATATGCATGCATCATGTTTTATCCATGTTAGGGTAGTCCTTAGGCTGTGTTATGCCTTGTTTTGGGATACTATGTTACCTACTATTATGCTCCATATGTTTTATGGCTTTGTGAACTTCTTGAGTCATGATAGAGATCATGTGTAGGTTAATTTCCTATTCAAATATGATAATTGTTATTTTGTGACGTATCCACCTAATCTGAGTTGTGGTAGCATACTTTACATATGCATATACCTTAGCATGCCACTTTTCATTAGTCCATGAGTATGTGATTTGATATCCATTGTTCGTATACATGTATTCTTTTATATGCTATCTGGGTGATAGACTAGATTGGCAGCACGTGAGTGGTCCATGCGGGTTAAGTTATAATAGCACGTGAGTAGTCTATGCGGTTGTTATATTTTGGAACTTGAGCTGGCCGTGCAGCGTGTGAATAAGGATCCATACCTCTAGGATCGTCCTCTCATATTTTTCTCTTGATGACGTACACACGGTATAAGTAAAACTGATCACTGTTTGGTATTTACGTATCTTCTCTATATGAAAACACCTTGGGTATACATGATTTTATCACATATCTTCTCTATATGCTAGTTTTGGGATGTACACATGACTCTTTATGCATATCTTCTCCATATGTTGCTTGGACTGAAGAATGAAGGCACAATACATATCTTCTCTATATGTTAACCTGTGCACATTGGCTTGATTATTTATGCATATCTTCTCTATATGCAAAACGTTGATGATTCATTGGCGATAGACGCATGTCTTCTCTATATGCTGAGCTGTTAAATTCTTATAAGACTTGCACGCGTCTTCTCTATGTGCACTGATTGACTTACCTAACAAGTGGGTTAGGCGCCATCACGACCGGGGGTGCTTTTGGGTTGTGACAATTAGGGGGAAGGAGAGAGGCAGTAAAGGAGAGAGAGAGAGAGAGAGAGAGAGAGAGGGAGAGAGAGATGAGATGAGAGTTAGGGGAAAGGAAAAAAATGTAATTGAAATCCTTATTTGAAGGCGCTAATCACGATGTTGGGAGCCTTTTAAGGGGAATGCATACAAATTGTAAAAAATTCAGTTAGTTTTGGTAATTAGCAAACTTCAGTTAAACTAAGTAAAATAGTTTATAATATACTATATATAAGAAAAAAGTAAAAAGTTAGTAAATAGTTACTTTTAGATCGGATATTAGAGTTTAACCATATTTTAAAGTGTATTGGAAGTAGCCACTTATTAATACAGAATCACAAGTCTAAATAAAAATACCCCTATCTAAAATACGGAAGAACTCCAGGAACGATTATTGAACTTTGAATAATTATTAGTTCAAAATTTAGGAATTGTTCCTGGAGTTTGAATGATTTGAAGCAGTATTCTCAATTGTTGATGTATAATGTGAATTTAAAAGCCATAAATCGTTCGTGGATTTTGTACTAGTAAAGCTTCAAAAACCAGTAATCTATCCTGAATTTTATATTAAAGGTTAAAAATTATTGAAGTATAATGTAGATTCAAAAATCATGAATTATTCATGTATTTTCTTGGATTTTACAATAGTAAAGGTTTAAAAATCAATAATCTATCATGAATTTTGTATTTAAAGGCTACAAATTGATGAAGTATAATGTGAATTCAAAAACAGTAAATCGTTCCTAAATTTTCCTCGATTTTGTACTAATAAAGGTTCAAAATCCAGTAATTTATCTTGAATTTTAAATTTTGTACTAGTAAAAGGTTCAAAATTGCTGAAGTATAATATAAATTTAAAAAAAACAGAAATCGTTCATGGATTTTTCACTATTAAAGGTTGAAAAACTAAGAAGTATTCCTGGATTTTAGATTTTGCACTAATAAAGATTCAAAATTACTGAAATACAGTGTGAATTCAAAATCAGGAATCGTTTATGGATTTTGCATTAGTAAAGGTTTAAAAACAGGAATCGTTCCTGGATTGTTTAATAGTAAATATTCAAAAACTAGGAATTTTTTTTGAGTTTGAAAATTCAGCAAATCTTTTAATTCCAGCATAGTTTTTTGGGGTTCCACTCGTCAAAATTTCGAACTCCAGTATCGATTGTTGGAGTTATGTCACATGTTTGATTGGGGGAAAAATGTTAATTTAAATTATTATTGGCCAATTTATTATTATAATTTAAAATATAGCTAAAGTGGCAAACCTAGCTAATTTTTACAAGAAATAATCCCTTTTCACTACTCACTTGGACTGGGCCAGTTGCCAACTTGCCAGCAAACTGGTGGAAGGTGACCAGCACCAACGCGTTTATTAAAATGGGCCGCCCACTATCAGTTTAAGATCGATCATGGAAAAATGATACTGTACGGTTAAAAATAATAGTCGAAAAAACGTATAAAATTTGTATATTTTTTGTATATATATATTCTGTATGTTATATATAAAAATTATATAAATTATATATATTTTTCGGTTATCAGATATAAATAGTTTTTGGCACGTGCTAAGATCATTGCTTACTTGTCAGCTATATTTATTCGCTGCTCATCTTCCTATTAAGTTGAGACGTGTAATCTTATCTATTTTACTTTCATGTATATATTCTTTAGTTTGATTCTGTTAATTTGACCAAGGAGAAAAACATTTTCTAGAGAAGATTTTTCGGTGCATTAATCTCACATTCTAACTCTTTTTATTTGTTACTTCTATAAAGTCATTTTTGAAAGTTAAGTACTCAACTGATTTGGGGATCATATTTAGGCGGAGGATGAAAAAAAAAACTTTTATCAGTTTTAATTTTTGGCCATTTAGCATATGCTTAAGTATTCATTTTCTCCTTTTTTTCTTCCTCATAAAATTTAGCCTTTACGAGATTTGCAATAGATAAATCTAGTCCTTACCAGATGCTATAGAACTTAATAGCACAAAATAAATTTAGCCTTCCTCCTTTCCCATTTCCGGTTTCCACGCAATCAATTATTAGAGTGAAATTGAAAATGACAAGACATTCTTGATCAATATGGTGAAATTAGCACAATCAGTTTGCATTGACATAAACAGTCCGGTACATAAAATATTTTATATTCACACAGAATACGCAAAAAGACCGCATGTAAACAGTTTACCCTAATGCAAGCATTAATAGATGTTTTTATGGCTCGAACCCGTCCATATCCATATAATAAAACTAACCAAATCTAATTGCATTGACATTAAATATATTATTGTTCTCTCATATCATCAGTTTGGAATTAATTTCACGTCCAAAATAAGCAGTATTGCTTTCAATTACATTTCACTCATAAAAGCTACGGTTAATGCCGTAAATCTAAAGGATCTTGACCATGTTGCACTATTACAAAACATATTTTTTTAACATTATCTTGACTTTGTCTTACCTAGAGCCATCAATATTGAAGAATGGACATGTTCTATGACTGTATACCCAATTATAATACTTGGAAGTACTTATGAAGATAGTAATCCTCTATGTTCATGCATATCCAAATATGGTATATGGACACATGAATGTAAAATGTCTTCAAAATGCATCAACATTTTTATTTCTATCATGTTTATGAGTTTCCTTGTATAATGTTTTAACTAAAATGATTTAGATAAAGAAAAAGCATGAACAAAATAGTACAACACTTAACATTATATGCATAATTAATCATATGGTAGAATTTCTATGAGAATTTGTGAACTCATGCAAGAACTTTGAACGTGGAAAAAGGTCAAAGCTCACACATTTTATTTGAAGCATATTCTCTAACTGAGTAATAGAAGTTTTCATCTTCACAAGATATTCACTACCAATAATTAAAGTATTGGGACCCAATATGCAAATTCCCCTCTATAAATGCTTCCTACTTTGAGCAAGCACAAGCACACATATCCATATTTACAATGCTATCTTCTTCTCAATTCTTTTTCCTTTCTATTCTCACCCTGCAGTGCCTCACAGGCCTAGCAGCAAAATGCCACGTAGACGATGAAGCCGGGTTGTTAGGTTTCAAGTCGGGTATCACATCCGACCCGTCGGGCCTTCTTGCAAGTTGGAAAACGGGTACTGATTGTTGTACTTGGTCGGGTGTATCTTGTGGGGAAGACAATCGGGTCACAGGACTACAGATCTATGGACAACCCGAGAAAAAACAAATCTTGTCGGGTACCATCTCGTCTTCTCTTTCCAAACTAAAAAGACTAGCAAGTATTAATCTTGTAAATCTTATAAACTTATCGGGTACACCGAATTTTCTCCTTACTCTACCTGAAATTCAAATTGTTTACATTGAAAACAACAAGTTATCGGGTCGTATACCCGCAACCATTGGTAACTTGACCCAACTTTTTGCACTGAGTTTCTCGGGTAACCGGTTAACCGGCCCGATACCGAGTTCAATCGGTCAGTTAACTCAATTGAGCCAGCTCAAACTCGGTAACAACATGCTCACTGGCACTATACCCAAGACATTTAGCAAGCTCAAGAGCTTAACTTTTTTGAGTTTAAAGAAGAATCAGCTCGCTGGGTTAATACCAAACTTCTTTACTTCCTTGTCTAACCTCATAATCTTGGAACTTTCTAACAACAAATTTACTGGGAAAATTCCAAGTAGTATTGCAACTTTAGCTCCACAATTAAGGTACCTTGAGCTAGGACACAATTATTTAACAGGTCAAATACCAGATTTTCTTGGAAAATTCCGTACTCTAGACACATTAGATCTTTCTTCGAACAAGTTCTCAGGAACTGTACCGAAATCCTTTGCAAATCTAACCAAAATATTCAATCTTGATCTTTCTCACAATCTTCTTGTCGACCCATTTCCACAATTGTTCGTAAAAGGTATTGAGTCTTTGGATTTATCGTACAATAATTTCCACCTTGGTACAATACCAAGTTGGATCACAAGTTCTCCAATTATATACTCATTGAAGCTAGCTAAATGTGGGATCAAGATTAAATTGGATGATTGGAAACCGAAGACGACTTATTTTTACGATTATATTGATCTTTCGGGTAATGAGATTAGTGGAAGTCCAATTGGGTTGTTGAACAAGACTGATTTCTTGGTTGGATTTTATGCTTCTGGGAATAAATTGAAGTTCGATTTGGAGAAGTTAAGGATTGTTCAGACATTGAAGGATTTGAATTTGTCTAGGAATATGGTTTATGGTAAAGTACCGAAGGCAATTTCTGGACTAGAGAAGTTGAATTTGAGTAGTAATCATTTGTGTGGTCAGCTTCCACCATCAAAGTTTGGGGCTAATTCTTTTGCTGGAAATGCTTGTCTTTGTGGTTCACCATTGCCACCCTGCAAATCTTAGTGCAAAATCAGCTTCTTTTCTTTTTTCTGCAACTTTTGATTGTGTTTGAATAGTATTGTATCACTCATATTGCTAATAATTTGGTGTTTTACAACCAGATTGGGGCACTTTTGTTCAATAAATGCTTGCATTTTAGAGCAGTATACCTTTTGACTGCCCTTTGTTTATTTTCATTCTCCATATTACTTTTTTTGTTGGGCCTATATTTCTTCAATCGGCCTAAATGAATCGGGTTGGTTCGAATTTTTTAATTACTAAACCAAATCAATTATATCGGGTTATTAAATTTAAAGACCAAACCAAACCAATAAAAATCGAATTTTTAAATCTCGGTTTTTTTCGGGTTTTCGGGTTGTTTCGGGGTTTTTTTCCATAAAGTCTTCATAGCACAAAACATAGAATTTGTGCTCCAAATATTTTTTTAATCTTAATAAGACAGAACTATATAAGGTTTTTTTTAATAAATAACATAAATATGATATGATTCATGGCATTGCATTAAAATATTCAACAATAAAGATGAGAAAATCACATAAAATACATATTATTTATAAGCCATAATAAAAACAAATATAATTTAAAATTACTAATAAGTCGCTAAAATAAGTACGACTAATAAGTACTACTTTATGGAATAAACACTAAAAGAAAAATAAATTATGTATTTTATCTAAACCATGAAAAAACTAAAAATAAATATCCAACACTATTTTCATTCATAGCGCAATTGAATTGAATGTCTTTTATTATCATTAGTATTGATTTGATTTTGGTTTAGGATTTATATGAGTTACTGACATTTATGGACTATAAAACTTATTGGAGCATCCAAAAATTATAAGTTCAAGCTTGAAATAATACGTTAAAAGATAAAATTATGTAAGAGTTTAAGAAATATTTATAAAGTACACTACAATAAATATTTTCATATATTAAATATATTTAAAACTTCTATACATATAATATCAGGTTGGTTTGGTTTCGGTTTGACTTTTTTTAGTTAAAACCAAACCAAATCAAATATCGTCGATTTTTTTTCCAACACCAAACCAATCAAAACAAACCATAGTCGGATTTTTTGTTCTCGATTTGACTCATATTATCGGGTTGGTGCGATTTGTCAGTTTTATTTGTACATCCCTAATCACACAGCTAAAACGACTTAAATATTCCTTGTTATCTTTTTTAGAAAATCTTGTGTATATTCCGTTCTAGTTCAGGCTTGCTCTTTAATTTATCAATGTGTATCAACATTTCTTTCCATCTATACAAAGCATAATCTATATACTTCTCAATTTGTGCTGGAATATGCCTCTATAGTTTATAGCTTCTTCTTTTTTCTTTCAATGCATACAACTTTATCATGTTACCTAATATGAATGGCAATTGAAACTGTAAGTTTATTTTTGTAAAGTAATCGGCCATGTTTTTAGCTTTTTATAAAGTAAAGTGTAAGTTTATTAATACTTGCAAGTTGCAACTTTATCATGTCCATAGTTACCTTTGTTTTTCCTCACCTGTAACTGTATGTCTTTTACTGTGTCAATGAATACCTAACATTTAGCTCAAGCCAAGTCAATAAATGCAACCAGCAAGCTCAAATTCGAACTAGTACAACTCAGGTCTCTTCATATATCATATCATGTGCAAAACTTCTAATGTAAGAATTAAATGACCATCAAAAGCGAAATAACTATTTTACCCTTGTATTAAATCCTATTCCTACAATATTGTTGTAGCTAAAAGTAATTTCACCTTCTGATAAACCATAAATTTGTATCACAATAAACATGTGATTAAAGACAAGACATAACTCATGTATTTGCTTTTAATTAATAAGGGAACACAATTCATGTATTTATTTTCAATGATTATGATTATTATAAACTCTTGGTCTGCTTTTTGTGAGAATTAGATGATACCTCGTCATTTGCGGATTTCGCCCAATCGTCGATAGCGCATCGTGATTGATGCACAAGGAGGATTTTTACCTTTTTTAGAATAGTATTAGGGATAAAACTATCCTACTATATACAGGGAAAGTTTCTTATTGAATAGGAACATTGTAACACACATATCAAGGCAATACAAACTTATTTCTTTGTTTTCTAGTTATTGAAAGGTTCTTATTTTAATCATACTTCTCATACACATTTGGCTTCGAATCGAGGGTCCGGTCGAGGGTAATACTATTGTTAAGCTTAAATCCGGGTCTGGACTCAGCGTCACAATTGGTTTGGTTATTTATTTTATCTTTAATTCATTTATCTATCATTTTTGATTACTTGTATTGAATCAATCCACATATCCTCAAAATCGCGTACAAATTTAATTGTTATCCGTTTTAAGAGTAAACAGAGCCAAAGAAGCATATAGCTCCGGGCAGTTGCAAGAGGTTTGGCCGATTGTAAGCAACCTATACTATTCTGCAAGCTATAATGTCTTGTGCTTTCCCTATGATCACGATTCTCCCTTTGGGGTGAATTTATTCAACTAACAAGAAAATGTTAATATTCATTTAAATGCAAGAACTATTTTTAGTAACTATTGTTATTAAAAGTCATTCCGTTCTCTACTTGCTGATTTTTCTTTCTAATCCATTCTAAATTTTTAGGTGTGCAATGATGGAAATGCATGCCTGGTCTATATGAACTAAAAATCCCATGTCAGTCAATAGAATTTCAAGGTTTTTATTCGGAGATTAATATCATCACTTTCTATATTTCAATTGCTCATGTACAAAGATGCACTACTAACTTTTTGTAGATCAATTGATATGTTGTGATCAAGTTAAAATAATACGTTGGTGGAATTTTTTCTAAAAGTAATAAATGTAAGTTGTCTTCCTACAATATCATGATAGGTAACAACCAGAGTTCTTTATAAAGTCTGTGATGGAAATTAGGTACGACTCTTCAAGAAAGGGTTGGACGCTTACATTTGTACTTTGGGGTTAAGACTGCCCAGGGCCTTCTGGGAAAGAACAAAAGCCATAAACAAAAACAAGTTAATAAAATTCAGAAACTTCCTGATCGAGCCAAGCGAGGGCTCAGGGAGAGTTAAACATTAAGAAGAACTTTTGACAAACTTATTAATTTTTAAATTTTGTTTTTATGTATATTATGTATAAAAATGTGTATGACAGTACTTGATTTGTTTGTTGATAACTTTGGACTTAAGATGTAAGCTATACTTCAAATGAGAAACTAAGCTCTTTCTCAGAATTTAAAAGTTTTATTTGTAAGGCCACAGGAAGGAGGACTTTTAAAATTTTCATTTTCTTGGAAAAGCATGGATCTTCTGAGTGCTTGATTCTGTTCTAAGTGAATTTTGGTAAATGACATGTGTGAAGATCAATCTACTATTGTCTCATCCAGTGCTATATAAATATTCATAAGTTTTATCTACACCTATTTTCATAATTATGACCATATATATGTTTCTTTCCTTTTGTTTCTTTGTCATTTGGGTCCTCCCGATTCCTTTTAAAGGTTAGCCATGATAACTATATTGTAGGATAAATTGCTTTCCATCTACTAAGTATGCTATTCTTGATTGATTTGTAGGTTGTGCTTGATACTTCGCTTCAAAGATTGGTGGCTCAACTGAGTTGTTTTTAAGAAAAAAATCTGAAATGCTTGTGTGAAGAAAATTTAATCGGATGAAGTTTAGGGTGAGACATAAGAGACACAATGTGACGTTTTTCATTAGTTAAATGATTTTGTTTGCAAACATTTGTTCCTTTTATGGAAAGTGAATGCTATAGCTTTTCACATTTTTGTCTCTACACAAATAGAACGATCTTTTGTATTTCTACGACACAAGATGGCTTGATATATTTATTTCCTATTATTATTATTATTATTATTATTATTATTATTATTATTATTATTATTATTATTATTATTATTATTATTATTATTATTATCAATTTGTATATGTATCGCTAAAATAACTGTGTGAATTCTTGTTGGTGTGTTATTCTATATCGTTTTGTTTCTCATATAGTCAGATTGAGAAATAAATGCACATTTTATCCCAAATTATTATTGTCTCCAATATCATCATCCATCAGTTTATCCATTAGTTTATCTTTATCCATAACACTTGAAAACTAACTGCTTGAATTTGTGTTCTTTAATTTTACTGTTTGAGGCAAACTTAGAATATGGTACTTTGAGGGCTCTGCACGAGCATATACCTATCTAGTCTTTAAAAGATATACCATGTGTCTAGTATATCCACATTTAAGACCAAAATTGGATAGTCTCAAATTTTTTTCATGCTGCTTAATAACGAGAAAGATATACTTTGGTATCAATCGTACTCCATCTGTTCCCTTTTAATTGTTCAATTTGTATTTTACACTCTTCTTAAGAAAATATTAATTAAATATTTATTTTACTAAATTATGGTTATCAATGATACTTTGGAACTAAATTTGACTACGAATATCTCGATTAGTTTGGAAAATGATTACTTAATGATAAGGTAAACTTTTAATTTTTTTTTTCCCTTGATTTTTTAAAAATGACAAGAAAACAGAAAATCTATTATTAGTATAATGGATAAGTAAAAGAGAATAGATGGAGTAGTATATTACAAAAAAATGTCCAATTTCATTTCTATTTTTAAACATGTCATTATCACTTTATATGCTAAATTATCCTTGAATTTAGGGGAGAAGTTCACAAATTTGTGGTCACTATTTAAGTTGTTTTTTGTATCCTAAGTTCAATTTGTTTTTTGCAATTGTACCTACTAAGGACAAAACTTCAGACGCAAGTGACTAAATTGTCACAATCACATCTGAAGTTGGGGACGAAAACGTTTAAGTGCATATAAAAAGTTTGTTGAAAAATTATATTTAAGACAAATTCGTACTACATGCAAAACACTAGCTGCACTTAAAGATGTTTTTATCCGAAGTGTAAAAATTATACTTAAAATGCACATAAAATATATGCATCCAATTTTTTGCATGCATTTAGGACGTTCATATGATGTTCAGATGTTCCCTTAAATTTTTTGGGAATTTTTTCGCTCCTATACAAAGGCACAAAGGCACTTTCGGGAGACCGCTTTTGCTATAAATTATCAAATTAATCCCGACATATTGGATAGATTGCCATTATATCCTCTT